AGACCCGAAACGTCAGCTTTCTTGTTCCTCTGATGCTGCTTGGCCTGCTGTGTTCCTCCAGCTCCACACTGTGTTACTTCAGACTCCAGCATCGGCAGTTCTTACTATCTCACATTTCTAGTGTGGTTTTGATTACCAAATCAGGTGTTAGCAGGACTACCTAATTATTTAAAGAATTGTTCAGCTGTTGTGGTCACAATCAATTACTTGAAATGCTTAAATACAACCAATTAAATCAAAAATACTATTATTTTAATTTCACAATTGCAAATACAACTATTATTAAAGACATCTGTTCTTAAAAATTCTAACAAAATAAATACCAACTAAGCGTGGAATATGTTAAATAGTGTTAGGGGAAATGGAATGAAGCTCTGTCCAATAAAGCTACAATTTCTGGCTTTTAGTCACAGAATTAAACCAATTTTTGTGGATAATCAGTTACTTTGTATTTTCTTAGTCCTGTCACTTCACGTTTGATGAGCATCTTTCCACCCATGAAAGATGTGGGCAAGCAGACCCATTTCAAATGTCTTCACTTGACACACCTTTGCTGATGACTGAGAAGGCCAGTCCCTGGTTCTGCCTCCAGTGCTGCTGCACATGAAGAGTAGTTATGTTGATTTTTGTTTTTGTAGTGGGCACCTTCCAAATCGCTACAGCCATTGGTCAGAGCGGTGGTGCTTACCAGCCCATAAGTGTTGACTTTTTCCTCTGACGTTAACTAGTAGCTTCTATGTGTGACAATTAGTATTTAAGGTCTTCATGTCAAGCATTCTTGAAGAGGAGCTTTGGGCGTTTTACTGGATCTCTGGCTCCAGCTACATGACCAATCACAGTCCTTGCGTATACAGGTATTTCTGCTATAACACGTGTTTTGTTAGTGCGAACTTTCTACTGTATAGTATAGCGATTTTCTATGGCGATTTCCTTAATGCAATTTTCTGTCGCAAAAATCACACAAGAATTCAACTGTTGTATTATAGGAGAATTACTTGTACGAATATCTTCCATCCTGTGGACATCCTGAAACCACCTCTGCCTTTGAGATGACTGCCACATTCATGAGTTTGTTCTTACAAAGGTGGAAATTGTTGAGTTGCTTTTGATAGCGGTAAGTCATCAATGTTTGACAATCATAAGGTGAGGTGCTGATCACAGGCCTTATGGGCCATCAGCGTGGTTCTAATCATCAACATGATGTTACTCCATTCACTTTTTGAATAAACCAAAGACCGTAGCTACCTTTCCAATATGTATATCAAGCAACAGATCATGTGTCACTGTGGAATCAAGTTAGAAGAACTTCCCAACCACTTTGAAACACTTGGTGTGATTGGGTCAAAGGTGCAACAACTTTGCCAAGGCACTGGTTTTTTTTTTGACACTTTTATAGTCAGGGAAAACAGAATGGGAGAGGCAGTCTGTCAGCCTTTTGTATCTGAGTCTTGTGTGCGTGACTAGCAAAGCCTCACCTGTGTGAAGGAATTCGCTCAGCAAGTCACTTTGTTTTGCTTTAACTCTTCATAGTTTGGAAATCTTGATGTCTGAACCATTTGCACTTTTATAGCTGGACTTCATAAAGATCAGGCATGTTTTGTCTTCAAGTAGATGAACTAGACAGGATAGATGCAGGAATGAGGTTCCCCTGGTGGGGAAGTCCTAATCAGGGTCACTCTAAGGATAGACTGAAATGAGAAATTTCTTCACTCACATAATGGTGAGCCTGTGAAATTCACTACCACAGAAAGCAGTTGAGGCCAAAACACATGATTTCAAGGAGATGGATATAACACTTAAGGGGAAAACAGGAACAGACTATTGAGTTAGATGATCAGGTATGGTCATTACAAATGGTGGAGCAGACTCAAGGGGCTGAATGGATGAATCCTGCTCCTTGTTCTACTTTCCTATGAGTCCTTTAAATGTGACCCCAGCAAAGGCCTGCCCCACAATACTAAAGAGTGAGCTTTCCTGGTAGTTATATGGACTGGAATAGTTTTAAAATGGCCACCGGCACCATCTGCATGTGTGACCAAGTTTCCTGAAACTAAGGTGGTTTAGACAAGAGACAGCTGAGCAGAAATTAACATTTTATCCAAAGGTAATGAAAGCATCCTTGCAGGAGAAATGTGAAAAGACCCTAATCTCCTTTCATGATTAAATCTTTGGAGGAGTGTTCATATGTTGGGGGTGAAACCTTGCTCACAATTAACAAACATAAATTTCACAGAGACCTCCTTCCTTCCTCCTCTTGAGAGGCAGAGAGAAAGAAAAACCAGTGATAACATTGACTGGGAAGAAAGATCAGGACATCCCAGAATTTAAAAGATAACTGTAATATTCTCCAGTCTGATGGTCCTAGAAAGCAGCTGATAAAGCATGATTTCAGGTTAAACCCTTATGCCTTAATGACACCCAACATAATTGAAACAACACTACTATTTTGTGTTCCTTTCGTACTGAGTACTAGCCCTTTTACTTTGTATTTGTGCATGTGAGAGACTGCCTGGAGCCTGAGCTTGACAGTTTGCGTCTTTAATACTTTTCTCAGCGTTATCAGAAAATAAACTTAGCAGAATGGAAATCCAACCCAGAAAATTGCTATCCTATCCATTAATTCTCAATCATCAGCAAAGTGATGGATGGAGTCGTCAACGGTTTACCAAGCAGCACTGGATCTGTTTAGTTTGTAGCAGGGCCATTCAGCTCCTAACCTCATTATAGCCTTTGTCCAAATATGGACAAAAGTGTTGAACTCGTAAAGTGAAGTGAGAGTGACTGCCTTTGATATGAAAGCAATGTTGTAGTTACTGACCAAGCACTGATAGAAGCAAAATTTGGAAGTTCTATCATTTAGACCGACAAGGACTGCAGGTGCACAGGATACGAATACCTACATTAAAGACAAATACTGCAGATGCTGGAAATGTGAAATTTAAAAAAAAACAATGCTGAAGAAACTCAGCAGGTCTGGAAGTATCCGTGCAGAGAAACACAACATTTTGAATCTGATATGATTTTTTTTCTGAAAAAAGGTGGAAATTTTGATTTATATGCTATTGACAGAGTGGCAGGAGGTATGAGCAAAACAGATGGAGAGGGTATTTAGACCATAAGACAAAGGTGGTAAAGGACATATGGAGAGATCTGCAGGGGTGACCCATTTTTCCTTTTCATGTCTATTATTTACACCTATTTTACATATTATACTCCTCCTCTGTCAACAGCGTAAAAGACACTAAAACAGAAATTACTGGAAAAACTCAGCTTGTCTGGCAGCATCTGTGGAGAGAAAGCAGAGTAAATGTTTTGGGTCCAGTGACTCTTCAGAACTGATTTTAGCTTGGAAAAGATTGATATTCATGCTGAGGATGGGGTGTTGGGGGGTGGGGGGTGTGAAGGAGTAAACAATAGGTGGGAAATGGAGCCCAGAGAGAGAGAGAGAAATATAATTGGGTAAACAAAGGAAGAATTAAAGGTCATCCTGGGAGAATAGCCGCTAACGGGGACCACGAGTGGCTGCCAATGGGTTGTTTATGGGAGCTGCCAATGTGATGACAAGGGTCTGGGATGTGGGGGTTGGGGTAAGGACATGGGCGAAGGTATGCAGACACCTAAAATTATTGAACACAATTTTTGAGTCCTGCAGGCTGCCAAGTCCCAAGCGAAAAATGGATGCTTTCTTCCAGCTTGCACTGAGCTTCACTGGAGCACTGCAGCAAGCCTGAGACAGAGACATTGGCCAGGGAATAGGGTGGTGCGGTGAAGTGGCAGGGTTACTTTTGTGGACAGAATATAGGTGTTCTGCAAAGCAACCAACCATTCTGTGTTTTGTTTCCCCAATGTAGAGTAGACTACATGATAGATTAGATTTAGTGAGGTGCAGGTAAATTGGGCAAAGGGGTAAAGGTGTTGGGGAGGGAGGTGATGGCCTCGTGCTATGATCACTACACTATCAATCCAGAGACCTAGGTAATGTCCTGAGGACCTGCGTTCGAATCCTGCCATGACAAGTGGTGGAATTTGAACTCAATCAAAAAAATCTGGAATTAAGAGTCTCATGAATCCTATTGTTGACTGTTGGAAAAACCCATCTGGTTCACTAATGTCCTTAAGGGAAGAAAACTACCATCCTTGCCTGGTCTGGCCTACATGTTCCTCCAGACCCACAGCAACATGGTTGACTCTTAAACTGTCCTCTGGGCAATTAGAGATGGGCAATAAATGCTGGCCTAGCCAGCAATGCCCTCATCTCATGAATGAATTTTAAAAAAAGTTCTGCTTCACCTGGAAGGTGTGTCTGGGGCTTTGGATAGTGAGGAGGCAGGAAGGAAGTAAAAGGGCAGAAGTTACACCTTCTATGATTGTTCTGAGAGGGAATGGTTCCTCTGGAAGACTGACAAGGGTGGGGAAGGGAATATGTGTCATGATCATCTTGTGCTGGAAGTGGCATAAATGGCAGCTAATGATCCTTTGGATGTGGAAGCTGGTGAGGACTGGGGAACTTATTGTTATGGGAGGGAAGAAAAGGGGGGAGGGCCAAAGTGCAGAAGATGGGTTAGACACAACGTGAGGGGCCTCTTTCAACCACAGTGGAGGGGAATTCTCGGTTGAGGAAGAACGTGGACATTTTGGAGGCACCCTCGTAGAAGACAGCAACATTGGAACTCCAACTCCATTGTGTCTGTTCCAACAAAGCTACTTATACAAGTGGCCCCTGAAATGTCCACACACTCAGCCAGTGACACCACATCCCATGAATGAAGAGAAATGCACCAGTGCATTATTAATGCATTCTCATGAACTATTATCACATATTCCATTCAGTCAGATACCAAGATGGCACCAGAAAATAGTGACTTTGAACACTTTTCATAATGCTCACTTATTCTCTACTTGGGTATTAAAATCTAATTCTAATATTACTTTGCATTCATTCAGATACATCACTGCGTTTTTCAATTCATCAAATACACCAATGCATTGTTATCCACTCATTAAGACCACATTCACCAACATAACTTTGATTGCAATATTCTAGGCTTTGAGCCACTCTGGATGATGTCAAGGTGTTGGTCCTGTGAGATCTCGCGAGAATTGCTCGGGAGCGGAAGTTGCCTGCTGAGAAGCTGCGAGACGGTTGATTGTGTTTGGGAGCCGTTTCTTGATGGTGACTAGAATGACGGCAATCGCCCACCGCCTGCCCTGACTCCACTGGCGGACAGAGCTGCAACCGCCTTCTCTCTTTCGCCCCCGCAGGCCGAGGAACCGAGGTGAGCGCCGTGTGTCTGTGAAGGCGGTGGTTCCGCCGGTGCCCGAGGATAACGCCCGGGGCAGCCCCAGGCTTTTGCAGGCGGCACCAACTGGGAGGCCGGCTGCAGTCACTGCGTCTGCGCGCCCCGGCGTAGTGGGCTGTCCCCTCGTCATGATTGACGTGCAATGTAGCCTGTCGGAAGCGGGCTCCTCCAATTTGTGTTGTGATTGGGTTTCGACGACCAACCAGATTTCCAGGGGGTGAGACAGCGAGGTCGGAGGAAGTAGCAGTTGTGGATGGTCCGAGTAATATTGGGGTGCAGCTTTTTTATTTCGGGGTTTTGAGAGGAATCATTGATGGCTGAGTATATGGTTTGGATTTTGAGTATTAATACCCAATGTTTACACAGTTGCCATCTCTAAACATGGAGCGGATTCGCTGCAATTGGTAGATTTTATTAAAAAAGGATGTAGTGCAGCAGTGGTAGCATCCCTACTTCTGGGCTGGGGGTCAGTTACCTGAAAGGCTGGTTTGTGATGCAGGATGAGTTCTGTACCTGCACCGGCTGAGGTTAGCATGAAGGATTCTGCTAAACCTCTCCCTCACTTGAGGCACGGAGTCCCTCAGGTTGAACATCTCTCCCTGAGCTTTATGGTGTAGTAAGATTATAGAACAGTACAGCACAGTACAGGCCCTTCGGCCCACGATGTGTCGAACTTTTACCCTAAACCTAAGGTCTATTTAACCTCCACCGCTACCTTATACTATCATCCATATGCCTATCTAATAGCCGCTTAAATGCCCCTAATGAGGCCGACTCCACTACCCTCTCCGGCAATGCATTTCACGCCCCTACCACTGTCTGTGTAAAGAACCTATCTCTGACGTCTCCCCGATATCTACCTCCTTTCACTTTAAAACTATGTCCCCTCGTAAAAGCTACCTCCACCCTCGGAAAAAGTCTCTGGCTGTCTACTCTATCTATACCTCTGATCATTTTGTACACCTCTGTCAAGTCACCTCTCATCCTTCGTCGTTCTAAAGAGGAAAGCCCTAGCTCTCTCAACCTTTCCTCGTAAGACCTTCCCTCAATTCCAGGCAACATCCTGGTAAATCTCCTCTGCACCTTTTCCAACGCTTCCACATCTTTCCTGTAATGAGGTGACCAGAACTGAACACAATACTCCAGATGTGGCAGAACCAGGCTTTTGTATAGCTGGAGCATAACTTCATGGCTATTGAACTCAATCCTTCTATTAATGAAAGCTAACACACCATACGCCTTCTTAACAACTCTATCCACCTGGGTGGCAGCTTTCAGGGAACTGTGAACATGAACCCCAAGCTTTTTACCTCTGGGACAGAAGAATTGAGATCAAAATCCATGTGCCCCGATGTGCATCATAACATGCCTGAAGAGGTTGATTTTTTTTGCGAAAATCTACCCTGCGTAAGCCTCTGTATGTTGAACTTGAAAGTAGAGCCTTGCAGAATATCATAGAGTTTTTTTTTACTCGACACAAAGAGTCCCTTAAGCTCATTGTGTCCACTCTGGTTTACACGCATCTATCTATCTATTCTGATTCTATTTTTCCAGCTCTTGGCCTGTAGCCTTGTATGCTATGTGTTTCAAATGTTCCTACTTATTAAATACTTATTAAATGCCTTGAGGCCTCTCACCTCCCTCAGCAACATGTCTAGATACACATTTTTTCTCTCAAATCCCATCTAAACTCATGCTCCTCAGTTTAAATTGTGCCCCCTTGTTATTGACCTCTCTACTGAGGGGAAATATCTCTCTCCCTATCTATGCCCCTCATAACTTTGTACTCCTGAATCAAGTTCCCCCTCAGTCTTCTCTGCTCTAAGGAAAACAGCCCTAACCTTTTTAATCTGTCTTTGTAGCTGGATCACTCCAGTCCAGTCAACATCCTGGCGAATCTCTTCTACACCCCTTCTAGTGCAATCACATCCTTAAATTTCACTTGATCGAAAGGAGGGGACACCATTCAAATATGGGAGATTATATTCTTTTTAAGTATATTTGTGCATCCTTGGATTTGCCAAAACGTTGATGATCAGTGAAGTAATAATGTAAAACAATGTATTTGCCCAGTATCAGTTGTAAAATGATACATTTGTAACAAGTACAGTGTATCTTGCTCTAAAAAGTATCATGTTGGTGCTGCCTTCTAACGGATGTGTTTAGAACTTGTAACAAGTTCATTGTGTGAATTCAAAATGGCAGTGATGTAGCCAGTAACTTCAATTCTGTAATGCAGTTGGTATGCAGAACACACTTTTGGTGTGTACTGGGTTAGATCTGTGAGTTGAACCAGAAAATAATAGAGAAACTTAGCCAGTCTGGCAGCTTCTGTGGAGAGAGAAGTAGAGTTAATGTTTCAACTCTGCTGTGACTCTTCTGAAGAACTCAAACCTGAAGAAGAGTCAAATTGAAATCAATGTGAACTTAGGAAAAAGTTAAACAATGTTTGAGTCCCCACGAGGGTAAAATAACTTGCAATATGAGTCATATTTCCTAGAAGGTAGTAAAACTTATGCATTTTGTGACGGGTATGAAGAATAACATTTTAACAGACACCAGTCTTTATTTTCAAATTAAACACTCAGATTTTAAAAGTGTTCTAATGTTATTTATATATAATCACAGACTGCAACTTATTTTTAATGATGGATGATAATTTCTAATATCCATGGCTTTTTCCTCCAAATTAAGATAAAAGGAGGATTTGTTATGTAGTAGTTATATTACTAAACTTGTAACTCAGAATCCTTAGCATTTGTTTAGAAGTCTGAGAGTTTGAATCCCAACTTGTCAGTTTAAAAATCTGAATTTGGTTTTTAAAAATATGGTATTAATAACCAAGAAAACTGTTGTACAAACTCAAATGGTTCAATAATATGTTTTGGGGAATGATATCTGCCATCCTTAGCAAACCAAATCTGTATAACAAAACTAATCCCACATCAACATGGCCGAAGTCTTATAAAATCAAAATACCATGGATGATGGAAATCTGCAATAAAAACAGAAGATGCTGCCAAATCGCAGCATGTTTGGCAGAATCTATGGGGAGGGAAACAAAGTTCAGAGTTATTTTAGTTACAGAGGCTATGCACATAGACCTTGATGATTCCCAGTAATTCTGACTGACCTTGGGACTAATCTGCAACTGTATCAGGCAGGGAAATGTCACCACCTAGCATTGCATCTTGGCCAGCAACAGAAGACTGGTTAAGGTAAAGTCACCATCGTCCCACGAGCCCATAAGGCTGCTGTCTCTTAGACAGAGAGAGAGAGAGAGAGAGAGACAGCTGGTGGTTTAACCTGGGGGTTACCATGCCTCAGTCAAGGGGGGAGGTTGAGTAGGAGAGTCCTTTATGGTAACCTCAGCCTGTGCAGGAATTGAGCTCACATCACTCTGCATTGAGAATCTGCCATCCAGCTAACTGGCCCCTTTATTGGTTTAGCAGTCGTGGAGTATATCTATTTCTCTTTTTTAAATGAGTGTGACTTAATCAACTCAATAACAATTGCAGTGTCTTATGGATGATTTGATTTTCTTTTCAGCTGTGAATGACAGACATCGTATCCTCCACTATACTTAGTGAAATACAACTTCGGTTACTCTGTCATGATGACATAGATACAGTGAAGCTTCTATGTGGTGACTGGTTCCCAATAGAGTGAGTATTAAGTTTCTTTCCTTCCTAGTGATTCTTCAGAGTAAGGTTTGGAGCCTCCTTAAATGTTCCAAGAAAATAAAAACTTCATACAGATGTTTCCCCGCCTTACCCCAGTTAATCTTACCAAATACGTTGGTTTATTGTTTACAGCCTTTAAGAGAAAAAAAATTTCATCCTAAGAGAAAAAATTAATTTTGTACTTTGCTTCAGGAGAACTACATTTTATTGTAACACCGGACTAGGTCTAATTACGAACTGTGAAATTATACAGTGTCCTGAAAATATCAGCAAAACCCATATTGGTAATGCATTGGTGTTGCAATTAGAACATAGGGACTAGTTGACAGCTTGTGGAAAGAAGGTTGATCTTGTCTTCTGCTTTGAACAGGTACCCAGATTCATGGTACCGGGACATCACATCCAACAAAAAATTTTTTTCCTTGGCTGCCACATATAAAGGTGGTATTGTGGGGATGATAGTAGCTGAAATAAAAAGTCGATCGAAGGTACATAAAGAGGTATGTCTACACATTATGTTCTAAAGACGTGCGCCATGTTCAGTTTCAAATGTTGGTTTGCCCTTTGATTTTGTATTTTTGCAAAATGATGTGATGAGTGCAAAAGCTTTGACAAAATGAGTTTTCTTTTGGCAATATCTTTCCTTAGGATTTAAAAGAAGTCTGGCTATTAACTTGCTTTTGTTTAATGCAACAATGCTAAACAATCTAGCAGCAAATTACTTTTGTTTGAGGTGAACTGCAAAACTGACATAGATCATTATAAATAATAAGGGTCTAAGGGACTTCAACTTATCATTAAATGAAGGTAATTTGCAAACAAGATTTGATGTTCTTCATTTGCAGTAAAATTATTACGGTGATATTGAAAGTGAAAATCCGAGAGGATGGGAAAGAATTTGTGGCTGTAGGAGCTCCTCCTTTTTTTTGAGGTATTTTCAGTATTGGATCTGATTTCCTCGAATTCGAGGAGCAGCAATTACTGCTTTATAAGCTGTTGCATTGTTTTGGAATTTTGGGGAAAAAGAACAAAACAATGGCACTTTAAAAAAGGAGGAAGAGAGACAAAGGCAGTGACAAGGGGTGGGGAGTAAATCAATGGAGAAACAAAACTATTCTGCTGTCTGACCCAGCAGTGAACCTTCACAGCTGTTGCCTCTGCTGTTTGATTTCAAGTACCTCTGGACATTGGAGTTCATCTAAGAAAAATAAACAAACAGCAAAATACACAGCTGACCTTGGAAAAACTTGTGTGGGGAGATCACAGAAGGGAAGTAGCTAAGTGGCTTATTTTTTTGTAAATCCACAAAAGTGAGTAGGGTGGGTTTTTTTTGATTATATATTTTTGAGATATGTCACTTGATTAAACTTTAAAAATGTAAAATGTAGGTACTAAGTTAGCCTGGAGCAGTGTTTTTAGAGCAGTAAGAGTGTGCTATTTTCTCAGTCTGTAGATTGTTAAGGCGTAAAGATTTTAGTAGAGTGATGTGCTCTTAGTAGAGTAGTAGTTTAGTAGAGTGATGTGCTCTTCCTGTCAGATTTGGGAGATTAGGGAGAGTCTCCATGTTACTGATGATTATTTCTGCAGGAAGTGTGCTTGTTTGCGAAGCGTAAAGGTTGAAGTGGCATTGAGGAATTTACAGGAGCTAGGGGGAGTGATGGATGGCAGTTGTATGAAGGGAGATAAACTGAATATACGGTCAGGTAGATGGATGACCTCCATGAAAGGTAGGAGAAGGAGGCAGGTAGTGCAGGAGTCCCCTGTAGCTATCCCCATCTCAAACAAGTATGCTGTTTTGGAAAATGCAGGGGGTGATGAACTCTTGGGGAATGTTGCACTGACTGCCAGGTTTCTGGTTCCGAACAAGGGGTATGCCAGGTTCCAAGTGGTCGATTGTAATAGGATTTGTCCGGTCAGGCAGACGTTTCAGTGGCCGACAGCGAGACATCAGAATAGTGTGTTGTCTCCCTGGTGCCAGGATCAAGAATATCTTGGACAGGGTGCAGCATATTCTCAAAGATGAGACGGACCAGCAGGAGGTTGTTGTAGACATTGGAACTAACAACATTGGAAGAGATAAGTACGAGATTCTGAGGAGAGGACATAGGAAGTTATGCAGGAATTTTAAAAAGGAGTTCCTCGAGGGTCGTAATATCTGGATTACTCCTGGTGCAACAAGCTAGTGAGGGTAAGAATAGGAGGATAGAGCAGATGAATGCGTAGCTGAGGAGCTGGCGCAGGGGAGAAGGATTCACATTTTTGGATCATTGGAATCTCTTCTGGTGTAGTAGTGACCTGTATAAGAAGGATGATTTGCACCTGGACTGGAAGGGGGCTAATATGCTGGTGGGAGACTTGCTAGAGCTGCTCAGGACGATTTAAACTAGTAAAGGGGGGTGGTGGGGGCGGTGGGGGGGGGGTTTTGGGGGTTTCGGGGGGGGGGGTGTTGTGAGGTGTTTGGGGTTGGGAAGGGACTCAGGGAGATAGTGAGGAACGAGAGCTGTTTGAGACTGATACAGTTGGGAAAAGGAGTAAGTCGGGGCGGGCAGGAACAAAGCAGAGAATGAAGTAGGACTGATGAATTAAAATGCATTTATTTCAATGCAAAAGGCCTGACAGGTAAGACAGATGAACTAAGGGCATGGTTGGGAACATGGGATGGGGTTATCAGCAATTACAGAGACGTGGCTCAGGGATGGACAGGACTGGCAGCTTAATATTTCAGGGTATATATGCTTATAGGAAGGATAGAAAGGGGAGCAAGAGAGGAGGGGGAGTGGCGTTTTTGATTAAGGATAACATTACGGCTGTACTTAGGGAAGATATTCCTGGGAATACATCCAGAGAAGTAATTTGGGTGGCACTGAGAAATAAGAAAGGGGTGATCACCTTGTTGGGATTGTACTATTGACTCCCCAGTAGTCAGTGGGAAATTGAGAAACAAATTTATAAGGAGGTCTCAGTTATCCGTGAGAATAAGAGGGTGGTTATAGTAGGGGATTTTAATTTTCCAAACATAGACTGGGACTGCCGTAGTGTTAAGGGCTTGAATGGAGAGGAATTTGTTAAGTGTTCACAAGAACATTTTCTGATTCAGGTATGTGGATGTACCTATTAGAAAAGGTGCAAAACTTGACCTCTTGGGAAATAAGGCAGGCAGGTTGACTGATGTCAGGCATAGATAGCAGGGATCGAGGAATCCCTAGAAGGGTGTAAAGGCAGTACGAGTATACTTAAGAGGGAAATCAGGAGGGCAAAAAGGGGACATTAAATAGCTTTGGCAAATAGGGTTAAGGAGAATCCAAGATTCTACATATACATTAAGGACAAAAGGGTAACTAGGGAGAGAATAGAGTCCCCTAAAGATCAGCAAGGCCAAGTATGTGTGGAACTGCACAAGATGAGGGAAATACTAAATGAGTATTTTGCATCAGTGTTTACTATGGAGAAGGATGGAAGATAGAGAACATGGGGAAATAAATAGCGACATCTTGAAAAATATTTATATTACACAGGTGGAGGTGCTGAACATCTTAAAGTGCATAAAGGTGGATAAATCCCTGGGACCTGATCAGGTGTGCCGTAGAACTCTGTGGGAAGCAAGGGAAGAGATTGTTGGGACCCTTGGTGAGATATTTCTACCATCGATAGCCACAGGTGAAGTGCTGGAAGACAAGGTTGGCAAATGTGGTGCCATTATTTAAGAAAGGCTTGAGGGAAAAGCCAGAGAACTAAAGACCGGTGAGCCTGACATCGATGGTGGGCAAGTTCTTGGAGAAATCCTGAGGGACAGGATTTACATGTATTTAGAAAGGCAAGAACTGATTAGGAATAGTCAACATGGCTTTATGTGTGGGAAATCATGTCTCACTATCTTGATTGAAATTTTTGAAGAAGTAATGAAGAGGATTGGTGAGGGCAATGTGGTGAATGTGATCTATATGGACTTCAGTAAGATGGTCGATAAGGTTCCTCATGGTAGACTGGCTAGCAAAGTAAGATCACACGGAATACAGGGAGATCTAGCCATTTGGATACAGAACTAGCTCAAAGGTAGAAGACAGAGGGTAGTGGTGGATGGTTGCTTTTCAGACTGGAGGCCTGTGACCAACAATCGATGCTGGGTCCTCTGCTTTTTGTTATTTATATAAATGATTTGGATGTGAACATAGGAGGTATGGTTAGTAAGTTTGCAGATGACACTAAAATTGGAGGTATAGTGGACAGCGAAGGAGGTTACTTCAGAGTATAACAAGATCTTGAAAAGATAGGCCAATGGGCCAACAAGTGCCAGATGGAGTTTAACTTAGATACATGTGAGGTGCTGTGTTTTGGAAAGGCAAATCAGGGCAGGACTTATACACCTAATGGTAAGGTCCTGGGGAGTGTTGCTGAACAAAGAGACTCTGGAGTGCAGGTTCACAGTTCCTTGAAAGTGAAGTCGCAGATAGATAGGATAGTGAAGAAGGCATTTGGCATTTTTGCCTTTATTGGTCAGTGAATTGAGTATAGAATTTGGGAGGTCATGTTGTGGCTGTACAGGATATTGATTTGGCCACTTCTAGAGCATTGCATGAAATTTAGATCTCTCTCCTAAGGGAAAGAGGTTGTGAAACTAGACAGGCTTCAGAAAAGACTTATGAGGATGTTGCGAGGGTTGGAGGGTTTGAGCTATAGAGAGAGACTGAATAGACTGGGACTATTCTTCCTGGACCGTCAGAGGCTGAGGGGTGAATTATAAAGGTTTATAAAATCATGAGGGGCATGGATAGGGTAAATAGGCAAGGTCTTTTCCCGGATTGGGGGAGTCCAAAACTAGAGGGAATAGGTTTAAGGTGAGAGGGGAAAGATATAAAAGGGACCCGAGGGGCAAATTTTTTCATACAGAGGGTGTATGGAATAAGCTGCCAGGGGAATTGGTGGAGGCAGGTACAATTACAACATTTAAAAGCCATCTAGATGGGTATATGAATAGGAAGAGTTTAGAGGGATATGGGCCAAACGCTGGCAAATGGGAATAGATTTATATAGGATATCTTGTCTCATGGACGAGTTGGACCGAAGGGTCTATTTCCATGCTGTATATCTGTATGACTCTGTGGCTGCAGTGATTCAATAGTGACTTGAAGCAATGCACAATTAAAAGCATTGGTATGTCCCACTTTAGCCTTTTTTGTAACCAAGGGAAAAATATCAAAGAGGGAAATAATGATTTCTCTTTTTTTAATAGTGTTACTGAAATAATTTCGGGAATTATGTTGCTGGATCTGTGAATAATTACATACATTGTTGTGCAACACTGAATTGTATGAAGCAGGAAGCTTAGGTTTGATTAGCTGATTTCAGCCTGAGCAGTAGGGAAGAATTCAGTGGGAAGTAGAGGAAAAATCAACAGCTTTCCCACTTCTCATTGCTGTTCCATAATTCTAAGTCGAAGTTCACATGTAATATTAGGTGCGTGGTGAGTTAGTGCTACAGTGGTTATGCTCTTGGACTCATAATAAAAGTTGTGGCTTAGTGATCCGAGGGATAAGAGTTAAAATTCCATCACAGCAGCTGGGAAATTTAAATTCAATTAATTTAGTAAATCTGGAATTATAATGTTAATATCGGTAGGAGTGAACATGAAATACTGAATTGTCATTAAAACCATTTCCATTCATTAATATGCTTCAAGAAAATATATCTACCTGTCCTTTGTGTCTTTAAATCTGCAGCAAGCTTGTTGACTTTTATCTGCCACTGAAATAGGAAAGCAGAACTCTCAAATTATATTCAGGAAGGCCATTCATTATCACCCTTACCAGCGATGAGAAATAGGCAATATATTTTAGCCAGTGATGCCTACATCCTATGAAAGAATTTTTAAAAATGCCACATCAAACACTGTTGTGGCAAAATAGTTCAATGATGATTTCTGTTGATGTCACAAAATGAAGAAAAATTACTTGAGCACAATTAGTTACAAGGTAAATTCAGTAAGTCGTTTTTGCAGAGCAAGATTTAAGTTTCTAATGCATTAAGCTACAGTATTTCATTGATTTCAAAATTGGAAGGTAAGTTAAAAAATGTGTTTTGCTTGCTTGCTTACACTTGTATATTTCAATTAGTAGAATCAGAAGTTAAAATGAGGAAATTTAAAACTGAAAATGCTTGGAATATGAAACACAAAAATCCTGAAATACCCAATGGGTTAGAAAGCATCTGTGAAGATGAGGACTAACCCGTGTATTTATTTCTGAGCAAAACTATTAAAATATACTGGACTGTCTGTATATTAAATTAGCAATGAAAATTTAGTTTTTCTTTTATAATCATTCATTGCAATTGAACAATATTCTCTTTTCCTGTTGTTGCCTACAGGATGGAGATATTTTGGCCTCTAGTTTTCCCATAGAGACACAAGTTGCTTACATTTTAAGTCTAGGTGTTGTAAAAGAATTCAGGAAACATGGAATAGGTAAGCATGTTAACTTATTATCATTTTATTTCTAGTATAAGATATGGTTTGAATATACAAGTTTCTCAAGATTGAGGCAGTTTGTACCTTATGCATTTAAGGCAGTTTGTAAGGATCATTGGCTGATGTTCAAATTTGTGAATGATAAAAATAATTTATTTCAGAAATTCTGTTCATTTATATGTTTTTATCATTTCTATCAGACCCAAGCTATTAAATATATTAAAAACATATCCTTAAATGTATATTTTATGCAAAAATATGAACATGCTCACTCCAAAAACATCTTCATTTGTTCACAGTTGTGAATAATAGCTGAAATATTTTCCCATTAACAAAAATTGTTTGATATTTGCAAAAACTGACAGAATTCTTTGATTCTGGTTTGATTTCTGGACTGAAGTAAATGTACATGAAATGGCAGTGATGCAACCAATACTCCTAATTCTCTAATGCAATTTATTTCATTACTCGGTTTGCTGTAGAACACTCTGGTGGAAGTATGGCAGATGAACTCTCCATGTGCTTTCTTCACCCTGGAGATTAGAGCTCTGGTCAACCAGGGAAAATTACATGGTGGGTTCCAGTAAAATCCTTCTGCAGTGCCTGAGCAACTTCATGGCAAAATTGTGCCTTTTACTTGTCATACACTTTGCAGTTGTGAGTTTGCTGTCATTAACCTGCTGGGAATTTTCCTCTGCAGATCCATTGCACTCTGTCTTGTCATTTCTTTTGGGGTGGCAATGGGGTAAGATTGTGGTTGTGTGGTAATAGTTCCTCTTGATCAGGAGTAATAACAGTTGACTACCTTTAGAGACATCATTCCGACCCCATTTCTCCAACCATATTAAGAGATAATGTGTGGAATAAGCTTTACCTTTCACCACAAGTGGTGGTTATCATTGCGCAGAACAACTATTGACAAAGAGGGGAAAGTAAGCAGGTTGACATGGGATGCAATGCATTGGTATGCCAAATTGCTGCTATGAACTGAAGAGCAATATGGCAGTGTAATGGTACTGTAGGTTTCAGCTTATAGTGCCATGATGTAGGGTCAAATTTCTTTCATCTAGTTTTTGGTTTGAATGAGAATGTGCTGAATAAAGGCAGTAGTATCTCTTTACAAGGTAGGAACACAATCAAAAGAAATGTGCCTGTGGTATCCACATTCCGATAGGACACAGCACTAAATTCACTTCTGATTGGTTACATCATAGTGAATCAGTTATTGAATAAATAACAACTATTTGTGATTATTTAGCACCTATAGGGTAAGAAAATAGCCCTGGTTGCTTCACAAAAGATTTTTTTCTTAATTTTTAGAAGCTAAACTTGTGGCATCTAAGGCATTATTTAGGCAAATGACCAAAACCTGCTTCAGTAGATCAGTTTTAAGGAGGGTCTTAAAGAAGGAGAGGCTCAAGTTTATAGAAGGAAATCCAGAGCTAAAGGAATAATCAACCGTCTGGCAGCATCTGTGGAGAAGAAACAGAGTTGAAAGATGCTGTCAGATCTGTTGAGTTTCTCCAGCCATTTCTGGTTTTGTTTGTTTCAGATCTCTAGCATCCACAGTTCTTTGTTTTTTTCCAGACCTTAGGGACTTGACACCTGAAGGAACGGCCTCAAAAGTGGTGTAGTCAAAGTCAGGAATGCACGAAAGTTCAGAATTAGACAGGTGCTGATATCCTGGAGGATCTCTGGGCTGGAGAAGATTAGAGACTGGAAGGGGCAAGACATAAAGCTGTGAAGCATGGTAGATAAGCTGAACTAATTCCCATTATTCCGGTTAAAAAAGGAAAAAAAAACTAATGTAAATATGTAGTGAATGTGATTACAATTACTTACTGTGTGCATTTGTGGTTAACCTCTTTAAGGTTTATACAAGGGGACTTGAAAACAATAATGATCATTTTAAAATTAAGACATTGTTTAACCAGGAGCCAAGATAGGTCAGTGAATGCAGGGAAATCAGGTGAATGGAACTTGGTACAAACAAGGAAATATGCAATGGAGTGAACAAGACACTCGTGTCTAAAGGTAACAGAAATGTGGATGAGGATTTCAGGAGCAGATGTGCTAGAGCAAGATAGAGTCGAGCAAAGTTACAGAAGTAGAATAAGTGGTCTTGGTACATGAATGACATAAAATTGGTTTATAGGTACAGGAAGTGATTGGGAAGGGGGATTCAGTTATAAAAGTAGGGAGGTTTTGTTAGAGTTGTAAAAGGTGTAGTAACATCTGGAGTACTGTGTACAATTTTGGTCTTCATCCTGGATACAGCATTAGAAGCTATTCAGAGAAGACTGACTCAACTGGTTCTTGGGATGAAGGGACTATCTTACTAGGAAGTGTTGGATAGGTTGGGTCTACATCTTTTGGAGCTGATAAGAATGAGAGGTGATCATATTGAAATATTAAACAGATCGGATGCCGAGAGGATGCTACTTCTAGAACTAGTGTACACAGTTTAACGGCAAGAGGTCTTCCATTTAAGATACTAAGATTAGGTAATTTTTTTATCTCTGAGGATTGTTAGTTTGTGGAATTCTTTTCACCAGAGAGGAGTTGAGGCAAGGTCATTGAATATGTTTAAGGCTAATTCAGATAGATTCTTGACTGACATGCCATTGGTTATAGGAGATGGACAGTAAAGAAGAGTTGAAATCACAATCATATTAGCTGTTAATATTACCAAATCACGGAGCAGTTCCAAGGAACTAAACGATCAGCTCCTCTTAATTTGTACATTCATATTTAGTGAGGAAAATAGCTGGTACATTTTGCGCTATTGAGATTGTGCGGGGTGGGGATGAATAGGCATAAAAGCAACGTAATTTTTTCCATGATTTTCACTGATCATTGTCCTAAAGCTACAATGGATGAGTGAGTGAACCCCCATATAGATTTAACTCCGTAGTACCTTTGAAAATACAGTACAAATGATTCAGAGAAAGATATCAAAGGCTATCCAGCTCTGAAGAATGGTTAGGTAAGCTGAACGCATTCTCATTGTTTACGTTAAAAAAAAGGCATAAAGGAAGAACGTAATTCATGCATTTTAAAAATGAAGAGTTAAATAAGTATATATCTTAGTTGAAACTAATATAAGTATCTAATGAATATCATTACAATAAGTTGCTGAATGAATTTAAGTGGTAACTTCTTTGAAGTTAACATTATTGGCAGATGTAGAAGACAAAGTACAATAAATGCAAGTTCTGTCTGGGCATTCAAAGGTTAATTTTGTTCTGTCAGGGCATTTTGAAGGTTAAGTGTGAATTCAGTAGTGGATATGTTGAAGATAATTGGGCTGTCAAACAAGGCTTTGGTATCAGAAAGAAATCAATATGATTTATATTCATCATTATACCACCTTAGATGTTGACAAACTGTGTACATGAGTTTCTTGAGAAGATGAACCTCTAGTCTTCTCATTGTCAGGAAACCATCTAATTTGAGTTGCCCTTATGCAAACAAGGAGCTGGAGAATGCCATTCAGCCCCTCAATGCTCCTCCAGCATTTGGTGGGATCATAACTGATCTGATTGTAACCTCATCCACATTCTGGCCTACACATGATAATCTTTCACATCTTTGCTTACCAAGAATCTATCCACCTCTGCCTTAAACATATTCAAGGACTATGCTTTCGCTGTCTTTTCTGGAAGAGTTCCGAAGATCACAAACTCTGTGAGAAACAATTTTACCTCATCTCTGTTTTGAATGGGTGATCCCTTATTTTTAGACAGGAATCCCAAGTCCCATATGAGGAAACGTCTCCATGTCCATCCTGTACAGGTCCCTCAGGATCTTGTATGTTTCCTTGTCTTCAACTCATTGAAATTGGAGAACTACAGGTGATAAATTGTACTTGAAGGTGCAAAAAGTCAATACTTGTAACGTGAATATTTTTGTTTAAGATGATGAAAAATAAGCTAGATAGGAGACAGAAAGATAGTACAGATTGGTTAGTTCAAAGTCAGTTCTTTACTTGAGCAGACTGCTCGAAATAACTAAGAGAAACAAAGGCCTCTTGTTTGTGGAATAGTGTATGCTATGGGAATGAGAAAATGTGAAGCAGGGAAGAAAACTGAAGTAAAATTTAAAGAAATGCATTTTGTTCTTGTTTCTGAGGATGCCAATTTTAAACTGAATTATTAGTAGCTATAGTGATTACAACTGTATGTTATATGGATTCCAGTGTGAGGAGGTACTTATAACTGGTCTAAAGATAAGTCTACAGTTGCCATGTTGGATGATTTTAGTACCAGCTGTGTACTTGCTGGTCTTAATATTTTCACGCATATGCGTGAGGCAGTTTGGTGGACCTTTATAGGAAGGAAAGGTTTGTGGAACTGAGATAGCTCTTAACAAATAGAATATCTTGCTTTTGAAATTAATTCATTCAGGGCTAGCCAAGCGGTACTATATGTTTAGTGTTCAGAGGATATATCTCTTCATGGGAGAGTCAAGGACCAGAGAGCATAATCTTAGAATTAAGGGGTGCCAGTTAAAGACTGAGGTGAAGAGGAATTTAACTCTCGAATAGTTGTGAGTCTTTGGAATTCCTTTCCAAAGAGAGCTGTGGGGACAGAGCCCTTGTGTATATTTGACACTGAAATCAGTTTTTGATCAGTCGGGGAATCAAGAGTAATGGGGAAAGGGAAAGAGTGGGAAAGTGGACGTGTGGAGTGTTAGTTGGATCAGCCATGATCCTGATGAATGGTGAAGCAGTCTCAAGGGGCTGAGTGATCTACCCTTGTTCCTATTTCTTATGGTATTATGGATCCCCTAATTTTTTGTTCTTTAAATCAGCATTTGCTTTCTAAGTATTAAAATGTCAAATCTTGAAATATGTTTTAATCACTATTCTACATTTTATTTTTAAGGTTCCTTGTTACTTGAAAGCCTGAAGGACCACATATCAACCACAGCTCAAGACCATTGCAAAGCAATCTATTTGCATGTCCTTACTACCAATAGTACTGCCATCCACTTTTATGAAAACAGAGACTTTAAACAACATCATTACTTGCCCTATTATTACTCCATACGTGGCGTTTTGAAGGATGGCTTCACTTACGTTCTTTATATCAATGGGGGACATCCTCCTTGGACAATCTTATATCCTTTAACCAGCATTAAGCTCCTAAACCCCCAGGATACATTTTCACTATATGTGAAAGTTTTGGTTGCAATTATTTAATCATTTATAGGTTTCATATTTTTAACTATTATAAATCTATCAAAAAGATTTGATTGACTATTACGAATTTTTAAAATAAACTTTAAGCAATATACTACAGTGGTTACAGCTTATTTTAATCTTTGTCTCTTTTTACATTAAAATAATGTATTGTTAGCTTCCTCATAGCATTTATGATTTATTGCATATTCTATTAAGAAATGCAAAAGTAATTGAGTGAACTGTGAGAAAATTACTGAGTTATTTTGTGTAAATGCAGGTTAGTTTCCCCAGTAGTTGAATTTCTGTGGATTGCTAATATACCTGGCTAGAAATTTACTTAAATTGAATGATCCTTGCAAGGTCAGTTGTATAATGAATCCTGCTGTGCAAGTCTGTTACACAGCATTGCATAATTCTTTTCCTGAATTTCCATGTTCATTAGTAAAGGGTTGATTTGGTTTGTATTAGCATTGGGGGACCCTCATTTGTGTAATGAGTTTCATTATCTTCAGTGTAGGACACTTTGTCTTAGCCCACCACTTGCCTACATTTCGTTAGTTATACATTAGTGTTAATGTGGCAAAATAACCTTGTTAGTTAGTCACTATCAAAAATAAAACTGATCAAAGGAATTAAAGTAAGAGTCAATTGAAATGATAAGATAAAATGCCTTTTATGCTTCATACGGATGTCCAGTTAAACTTAAATCACTGCTGTGAGGTACATCATTAGGGAATAATGTGATTTATTGCAATTGCTCCAGAGTTTGAGTGATTTGAAGTGGAAGAAATATCATTCCATTGCTTAGAGAAGGAGTGTTTTGTCAGAGACCAGTGCAGTGTTAATTATTCCAATTTCAAAGCTGTCTCTTTCTCTTTAAAAACAGGACCATTACTTTAACCTGTTTCTTTTGATTATGGTAGATGTATTTTTAGAATGTGAAATTGTTCATCCAGTTTGTGAACCAAATAAAGGTTTGATAAAATTATTACTTAAGATGCCATTTTTGAAAGAAATTATATTTAATTTGCAGGACAATTTATTTGCAGTAAGAGATACTTGATAACTTGAGACTGAGACGCACCTTAATTGAGATATTCTCTGCTATGAAAATCAGTGTTCACACTCGAGACTGAAGTTGACCAGAAATGATCACCTCAAAAGGCAGATACTGTAGGATGCCATTACTAGGGAAAGGAAATTAATCTGGAGTTTGCCGTAAAGAATTTGGAGATAAATGGCCGAGAAGTTCCCAAGAATCTTTCTATAACTATTTGGAAACAGTAATAACTTGCTTGAACATGAATAGAGCTGGATTTCAATTTTCAACTGTGAAAGTTTGGCAGTTTATGAGTCCAAAGGGTGAAATTCAGAGAGATTATTTTGCATTTGGAGAAATATCTTTCGTTGAATCAATTGAAGTGATCAATTACAACATCCCAGATTTAAGGATATTTTCATTACAAGAGTCTAATATTTAATCCAGAAATGGATAAAAGTAGATGAAGAATCTTGTTCTCTGCTTTGATAAGTCAGTTGTATCTTTCAGGAGGATCAAAAAAAACTGTTGGAAATGGCCAAGCCACAATAATGAGAGCCTTGATACTACTTCCAGATATCTGTGGGATGGGTTAGGGAATACCAATGATAATAGACAATTTATGCTGTGTAATAAGAAAAATTATTCCTGAAGCAGAATTGGAAAATGTGTGTTCTTTCAGTTGCTTCCCTGTAAGCATCTTTGTATTGAACCTGCTGATGATAGTCTGGGTGACCGTAGAGTGGGGACTTCATTAACTACAATAATCTTAAAGGAAAAAACTATATCTTTCCCAAATTTCTGGAAGTTCTTAAAACAAAAAAGGCTTTAAGCAGCTTGTCACATTCAGGCTTTTTGACTTGGCATGAGGGAACTTGCCTTAAAGTGTGTTTAAAAAAAAAGTCACAATTAAATTAAACTTGGTTCATACTAAGTTAATGAATAAAATCGATGAACTGATTGATATGACACTGAAAGATAGTATTATGCTTTCATTCTCACTGGAGTTTGGCCTTTAAAAATAGAAGCCTGCAAGGGCAATTTTGAAAAAGGAAGGCTTTGGTAAAAGTGAGAACTTTTAAAATGAGCAAATGGAAAATATTGACAGTTAGATCTAGATCACATTCATAGATGTGAGGAAGCATAGAGTATTCTTTGACTTGTGTCATTATGTAGAGATAAAGTATCCTGATCAGGCTATGTAAATCTGATAGTAACCGTTGCTCTGTACGTTTACTCGCTGAAATAAAGCAACTTAATAAATCATAACAGGCCCTTATCATTTGGCCTGCCATAGAATCATAGAGTCAAAACAGTCCAAACAGTCCATTCCAAACATAATCCCAAACCAAACTCGACCCACCTGCCTTCTTCTGGCCCATATCCCTCCACACCTTTCCTATTCATGTATCTATCCAAATGTCTTTTAAACATTGTAATTGTACCTGCATCCCACCACTTCCTCAGGAAGTTCATTCCACACGCGAAGCCCCTCTGTGTAAAAGAAAATTTTCCTCCCATGTCTTTTTTAAATCTCTCTCCTCTCTCCTTAAAAATGTGCCCCCTAGTCTTGAAGTCCCATCCTAAGGAAAAGACAATTACCATTAACTCTATCTATATCTCTCATTATAAACTTCTACCAGGTCGCCTCTTAACCTCCTATGCTCCAGTGAAAAACGTCCCAGCCTATCCAGCCTTCTTTTTTATAACTCAAACCTTCCATTCCCGGCAACATCCTGGTAAATCTCTTCTGAACCCTCTCCAGCTGGATAATATTCTTCTTATAACTGGGTGACAAAAACTGGACATGGTATTCCAGAAGAGACCTCACCAATATCCTGCACAACCTCAACATGACTTCCCAGGTCCTATGCTCAAAGGACTGAGCAATGAAGGCGAGCATGCCAAATGCTTTTTTTACCACTCTGTTTATATGTGACGCAGACTTCAAAGAATTATGTACCTGGACCCCTAAGTCCCACAACACTACCCAAGGCTCTACCATTAATTGTATAGGCCCTACCCTTGTTTGTTGTACTAAAATGCAATACTTTGCATTTATCCAGATTGAAATCCATCTACTATTTTTCAGCCCATTGACCCATTTAATCAAGATCCCTTTGTAATCTTAGCAAACCTTTATTGTTTACTTTGCCACCAGTTTAGGTGTCGTCCACAAACTTACTAACCATGCCTTCTACATTCCTGTCCAAATCATTCATGCAAATGACAAACAAAAGAGGGACCAAAAATGATTCCTGTGGAACACCATTGGTCACAAGCCTCCAGTCCGAAAAGAAACTCTCCATTATTAGTCTCTATCTCTTGCCACTAAGCCAATTATGTATCCAATTGGCAAGCTCACCCTGAATCCCATGTAACCTAACTTTACAAATTAGTCTACCATGCGGAACCTTGTCAAAGGCTTTACTAAAATCCAAATAAACAATGTCTACTGCACTGCCATCGTTAATCTTTTTGGTAACTTCCTCAAAAAACTCAATCAGGTTTGTGAGACATGATTTTCCCCTTGAGAACAGAGAAATACATGTATTAGAAACACAAGATTGATTCAAGACAAGGAGTGGTACCATTACACCTGAAAATTATTATGTGTTTTTAAAAAAGAACAGGAGGGGATGATTACATTAAAATAAATCTAAGTTGTAGCATGTGGAAAATTAATTGTGCAAGAAAATCAGTAATCGGGGAATCTTGAACTAGCACTTTGGGAGTTAAAGGTAAGATTAAAGCTGTCACAAATTTGAAGATTGACACATATAAAAGAGACTAAAGCTAATATATATGGATTTAACATAAATGCCTGATACAATTCATAAAGATAAAATGCAATGATTGCATTTAAGGTTGGAGTAAAACAGTGGTTGTCAAACATTTTGTGTAAGGAATTCTTTTCAAATAGACATATTCTTGAGAATCACTTATTCTAACTTCCAAAGATTTGTGCTGGTTGCCAATAAGAACAAAAATTCAGTCAACATTGTAAAAGATGATTTTTAGTGGTATGTACTGATTTAGGAATAACGTGCTTTTAAGTCAACAAATACAAAAATCAGATGATTAATGAGCAGAAATTTGATTATTTCATGGATGCTTATTAATGGAAGTCAGTGATTTAACATCTGGTCAAGGAACCACTAGCTTCCAATATTGACTACTGTTATTTCTCCACCTAACTGTTGGTTCTCATGAGCTTTTGGAACTGGGTTATCTGCAAACAAAATTCTTAAGTTTTGACAAGGTAGTTGCAGGTAGTATGTTTCCCCTGGTACGAGGGTCTAGAACTGGAAACAGTCTCAGTAAGGGTCAGGTCAATTAGAACTGCCATGAGGGGGAATTTCTTCACTTGGAGGGTAATGAATCTTTGAAATTCTCTGTCCAAGGGTGCTGTGAGAATATCTCCAAATTTGGGATTAATGAATATCCTACTCCTCTTATTTACTATGTTCTTGTGTCTTCTCCTATCTTGACATACGAGCAACAGTTTAGGAAAGTGTTAAGTGAAGCAATGTTGTAGTTTCGTCAGTTTTTCGTTGTTAAATTAAGAATGTAGTCCAAATCCATATTTTGAAAAAGTTGTATTATAATCCTTGACGCACCTTCACTGACTATCTTCAACACATTGGCTCAACTCTGGTGAATCTGAGGCCTTGCTCCATTCCCCAGCGAATATATCGTCAGGCACAGAATCTTATTCGCAGTTTTTTACCCTGGCCTGGTATCTCAGCAAAAGGTGGTATAGAGTACAGCAGGGCAATGTGATCGCTTTTGTTTTTAAAGCAAACAATTTGCAAAGGTGAGCAGTTTAAAACTTTCTTCTTTTATGTTGCAACTGTGAAATCCAATCTTTTGGTGCTACATTTCTAACACAATTTTTTGAAAATGCTGTTACATATGCTTTTAATTGCTGGTTACTTTTCTGTCCTGTTGAAGTGCACTTTTAATGTGTTTGTTTGGGATTTGCTGATTCTGAAAGTTGGTGAGATTGCAAATTGCAATATGTCTGAATTTTCATTTGATGTAATGATTTACATCATTTTTATTTGTTTCATTAATATTTAGCTTGCCCAGATCTTATGCTGATAGAAGTGTTGTGTCTGCCATTATTACCGCTCTGAAGCTAACGATAAATTCTGAAGAAAACCGAAAGAACTGTGGATGCTGTAAATCAGGAACTAAAACAAAGTTGCTGGAAAAGCTCAGCAAGTCTGGCAGCATCTGTGAAGGAAAGAACAGAGTTAACGTTTTGGGTAGGTGACCCTTCCTCAGAACTCAGACCCTTCTGAGGAAGGGTTACTGGACCTAAAACGTTAACTCTGTTCCTTCACAGATGCTGCCAGACCTGCTGAGCTTTTCCAGCAACTTTGTTTTTGTTCCAAATAAATTCTGAAGATTGCGCACACAGAATTCAATATAGAAATCAAAAGTTTACGGTCAGTGCTTCCAAACTTCTCCGTAGGGTGCACTACTGAAGTCCCCCCTAGATTCCAAGCAAGTGGAATTCAATGAACTAATGAAAACTTGTTTCTTTATGCTATTAATTTTACAGAATGTACGCTTAAGAAGTTACATCTTGTTGAACTAACTGTATCTGAGATATTAACTGATATTTCAGCTTCTTCCTTTATCCCATAAGTGTCCCAATAATTTATTTTTATCACTCTTAAAATTTTAATCAAAAGTAAAAAAAATCAGTACAATACATTTTGGTCCCAGGTTTCCTGTCTGGAAGAAGACTTCAGTTTAATTAGCTGTTTACTCTGCTTGATAACATTGGTGCTGCTGGATGCCTGGAGATTCCCTTGACCTAACACCAGATTCACACTGGCTCTGGAAAAGGTGAAATCCATATCACCAAGATTGCCGGATTTTGCAAGAAGCTTTCTTTGAGGCCAGCAACAAGCACTGTCACTTCACAGCCCCATGTGAAATCCAGACCTCTGATATATTTCCTTTGTGGATTTGTTTTTCTCTTCTTTGCTGTTATAATTGAACTTGTGTGTGTTAGGTCACTTTTGGCCTATAATGTTTAATTGAAAAAAAAATTATTGTGTGTTTTGGTTAAGTGTGGTACAGTTACCTGTAGGTCTTGAAATCATTGTCAATTGTGATAGGATGGTGGAGACTTTCAAAAAGTGTCAAGTGGCAGATGAAGTTCAATGCAAAGAAATTCATTTTGGTATGAAAACATGAGACAATACAAAGTAACAGTAAAGTTAAAAATACAGGAGACAGGGGAACTGGATGTGTACATGCATAAATTATTGAAGCTGACAGGACAGGTTAAATGAACGGCCAATAAAGCAGAATTAAGCCTAGGCTCAATTTACGGACATAGAGCACAAGAACAAAATGGTTATATTGAACTTCTATTGTGTCCATTTCTGGCCTCCCATGTTTTAGAAAGATATGAAAGCATTGTAAAGAATGCAGGAAAGATTCACAAGTACTTCCAGGGATAAGGAATCTTGCATAATAATTCGACAATTTTGGAATGTTTTCCCTGGATAAGAATGGTGAGAGAAGATTTGATAGAGGTATTCAAAATCAAGAAAGGTCTGGACAGAGTAGATGGGAAGTAACTGTTCACTCTCTCAAAAGAATTGAGAATGAGAGGGTGCAGATTTAAAGTAATAGCAAATGAATCAAAAACAACATAAGGAAAAATATTTCAAACATGTGAACAAGGTCTGGAATGCATCACCCCTCAGAGTGTCATTGAGCCAGATTCAATCAAGTAATTTAAAGTAATTAGACTGATATCTGAGAATGAAAAATGTTCAGAAGGGAAGGTGTGGGTGTGGTGGTGGGGGTGTGGGGGAAGTGCGGTAGTGAATAACAGTCGATGAATTGTTTGTTTGGAGAGTTGCTGCATGCAAAATAGGATGAGTGGCTTTCTGTACTGTATCAAGAACCAGGAGTCACAGTCTAAAGATACAGAGTAGTCCTTTTTAGGATTAAAATGAGAAATTTCTTCATGCACAGAGTGGTGAGTCTGTGGAATTCTCTGCACAGAATGGGGTTGAGGCCAAAACATTGAATGTTTTCAAAATGGAGTGAGATATAGTTCTTGGGGCTAAAGGGGTCAACAGGTATAAGGAGAAAGCAGGAACACGGTACTGTGTTGGCTGATCAACCGTGATCATGTTGAATGGTGGAGCAGCCTAGTAGGGCTGAGTGACCAACTCTTCCTGTTTTTTTTTGTTTCAGTGTAACAATATTGTGATTGTAAATGCATTTCAGAGTTTTGCTTTGTGTTCTGCATTCAATTCTTGGAATGCTTGTTAGATGATATTTTTGCTCATTGGAGTTTCCTATAAGATTTACAACCAAATTTACAGTGCTAAGATGTTTGGATTCTTAACTGGAAGTCCTGAGTTTGTCTAATTGCTGTGTATGTTATTTTATTTTAGACTCTCAAATTGCACTTGACCAAATTACATAGCAAAGAGAGAAAGAAACTGATATGGAAGAGATCATTAAACCTGTCACTCAAACTTGACTCCTAGTAATTCCGATCCAATACTGTTTCTGACTTTGGGAATTACTTTACTTTTTTTTATGTTGTTAATTCAGGAAATGTACAAAATCGTAGCGTTAATAATGCTAGCAGGAAAATGAAGATATAAATGACTCCAGATAAACCTGGCTGTTATTGACATTGAATAATATTCGTTTACTCTTTATGCTATCAATTTTTTTCGTGTCATCTTCAGATAGTTTTTCTGTTGTTATTCTACATTATTGTCTTGTATCTTGCTTTCTTCCTGCCAGCATTCATAACATTGCCTGAGCAAATTTTGGTTTTGTTCATAAAATCCAGATGCATAATTCCAATGTACTTCAATTTTTTAATAGAATTGAGATTGAGGATTGTTTGATGCCTAATGGTTTGCACTTGGAAATACCTATAGTTATAAAACGTGATGTATGGTATTTGTATCGTTTTTATCTTAAAGTTTTCAAGTCTAAACATTGATTTAATTTTTGATATCAAGAAGAATTTTGGGAAGTTGTTAAGAAATAGTCTCAGACTGAATCTGATGTGGGATTGGGAGGTTTTTTCATTAGATCAAATTGAGAAGATTAGTCATTCACTAACATCACTGACATCTTATGTTTCTCTAAGAAATCAAATTTGACTAGTTAAATCCTGAGGATTAGGATTAAGTAATCTAGTTAATTTGGCCGACAAGAGTGTAGTACAGTTAAAACAGTTTGACTTTGATTATACAATAGAAAGAAACATTTCTCCTCATTTTTCCACACTAATTTTCACCCTGCAATTTACACTGGGCAGCTCACATCATCCTGTATCTCATCCAAGGGCTGATAGTACTGTCCAAGCCCAGAATGTGACAGTTGACAGACTATTTGATAGACTTGGCTATGATGCCCAAGACAACATTTGATGTCTTCAAATATATTTCTCTTTGTAATTGCAGAATAATGGCCACAGAATCTTAGAACAATTGTGGTACAGTAGGAGATGGATCAGCTTGTGATTGAGATATTTCTTTGATAGAACTAATTAATCCCACTCAAAAACCTGCTGTTTCCCATCATGCTGTCAATCTTCTCCCTTAAGTAATATCCAATTATTTTAATGTTACTTTTGAATCTGCTTTTTGCACAATTTAAAGTGTATTATAAATCACCACAACTCGGTGTGTAATAAAATGTTTCCTCGTGTCACTTCTGGTTCTTTTATCATTCACCTTAAACTTGTCTCTTCTGCTTACTCAGTGTGATTCCACTGAAAGCAGCTTGTCCATATTAACACCATTAAATTCATCCATGACTTTTAAACAACTCTAACAAATTTCCTCTTAATATCCTTGCTGTAAGGAGACCAACCCCAGAAATACCTTCCTTACCGCTGAAGATGACCATTTAGCCCATTGAGTTCATGCCAGCTCGCTACAGAGCAATCCTATTGGTCCCATTCACCCACTCTATCCCTGTAGTCCTATGGTTTAATTTCCCTCGTAGGCATTGAGTTCTGGGTTATTACCATTCACTGTGTAAAAAATATTCTTCTTCACAGCCGTTCCTCTTCCCTTGCTGTAACTTTAAATCAGTGTCTTTTGACGTAACTAATACCCCTCCTAACTTATCATTTTCTATTGTTATCTCTGTACCATTTTCAAGTCTTGATGTCCCATCAAGAATGTGGTGCTTAGGAGTCAAATAATTTTAAAAATTAATGTAATTGATTAATTAATGGACCGTATGGCCTTCTCCTGCTTGTATTTCTTAATAAAAAATTCTGGAAAGTTCCCACCTTTCCGTAAACCAGGGTTTGGTGGGGAGCAATGTAGTATGTCTACTCCTGATTTAGAATGCTGTGACATTCTAAAAGTATTATTGACAAAAAAATTACTGTTATGTTTTCCTGTATAATATTCTAAATTCACTGGCATGTATATTCTTCTTTTCAGCTACAAAACAACAGTCTGCACTGATTAAATTTGTATTTCTTCTGGACGTCTATATGCCAAGCAGGGAGAAGGGGATGCTGTATTTTAAGATGCTTGGGGGCACTCCCTCACTGATGCAATTCGAATTCTATATGGAATGTATTATAATACAGTGTTACCTATATGTTAATGGAACAAGTGCACTGTGTTAAGATTCATCTGTTCCGTTAATGTCTTTTAATTACTTCTACACTCTGTAATTTGCTGCTATCTAGAAAACCACTGTATGTCTTATTTGTAATTATATGTGAATTCTATTTGTTGATTTTCATGGTTTCTTTTGATTTTGTTTGAATATTTCAGTTTTATTACACACCTTGTGTGTATGGCAAAGATTCTATATTTGGATTTTACTGTATTCAGGTTTTAAAGTTGTTGGACTGGTTTATGCACATTCTTAATTTTGTCACCTTTACCTATATTCATTCATCTAATTGTTTGATTTTGTGACTATGCGAAACAAAATCGACATCTGTGATTGATCAACGATTTGGTTTTAAAGAAATTCTGCTTTGAGTTGCAATATATAGTAGTAAAATGTTTATATATACATGTACTCTACAGAACAAAATTAATTGTATTTGATTTACCTTGTGTCCACATGGGGGCAAAATATTCAGACAGCTCAGTCATCTTTTACGCCACATAAATGACCCACCTTGTGAATTCAAAAAAAGGGAGTAAAAGAAGTCCAAGATAGATGACTTTTGCCATTTGCCACAACTGTTCCTCCTGCTATTCGTTATTTTGTTGTGTCATACTGCATTCTGATCTGGAAATGCAAACTTTAAGCTTTCAAGATCAGGAAAAGACATTTTTTAGAAATTCAGAACACTTTCTATCTAAATTTGTCTTGAACCGAGCTTCACAAAACAAGCTTGAGTTTAGATCTAATTTTCCTTCCTAGAAGTGAATTTACATTTTTATTTGCTTTGCAGTGCATAAATTATGACAGAGGTTGTGTGGCTTTCTCTATATGCCAGACTGTAACAATCAAATGTGTAAATATTACTGCGTTTTTATCTGGTTTTTCTATATGCCTGATGATTACTGTAATGGTGTAATATGTATGGCGTTGCAGGTCACAGATGGGAATACAGATCATTATGAACTATTAGAACTACTGTAAAAAGTGTTCCTATGTGACATGTCAATATACATGAATTTCAGATTTTTTTTAGCTTCAGTGATCTAGCTGTTTAAACATTTTTAACTTCATTCCATGATTCTGTTTCACTACTTAAAAATGCCTACACTGTTTTCACAGGTTTTTAAAATAATTTCAGCATCAATGACAATCAGTGTAAGACTTTTAAACAGTAATTGCACTTTAGATGTATAGTAAATGTTAAATATATTATGTAGTGGCATCCTGTTATCTGGGCAGCAGTCGTGACTTAATACACTTAGAATTCTGATATGTTGTTGAGAATCAGTATTCATTGTTTATCAAATATGACACCAAGCTGTGCAAGAAATAGAACCATAGAACCATAGTTTGAAATGAAGATCGAATATGTTCAGAATTTCAGTCAAATACATCAACACTATATTAAAGATTCCAATTAATGTAGCATCAGTTGTATTTTGCTTTGTTGGATTTCTGTTGTTCGTTGTCCTTGCTAGAAATTAACAGCATTTCTCACATATTGAACCACCAGTTGATTTCTGGACTCCTGTATTGATTTGATTTATGAAATATAGCAGTTGCATTCACTGTTTTTAAATAGAATTATTACATTTTGTAAAGCAAGAAACAAAACATCTGAATTCTTGTGCGGATTTATTTTTTAAAACAATTAGGATACATAAATTTACTGTTCACTACACTGTAAGAAATCTTATTCAATCTATTAAATATTACATCAAAATTATTAATTGTTTCTTCTGTTTTGAGTAGATTATAAAAGCTTTGCTGTTAGATGATTGACACAGAATGATAGAGAACATTCTCACCAGAACTTAAGACTTCACTGAACAATAAATCATAATGGCATCAATGTTTGTTCTACTAGTTAAGAAGCCTAACACACTTAGCCTTTAATCCTATTACTATGGTAACCAAGTAGGTATAGATTGTATTAGATTGTGCTATTTTAAAACATTTCTCTGGAATATATTTCAATACAGAAGGAGACTTCATATGTAATGTATGTCTTGCATGGTTGCAGGACAAATTGTGTTGGGTAAGCTCTGCTGCTTTGGTGGACTAACTTTCTGTCTGGGGGTGGGGAGGAAGAGTTTAGACTTCTGTGAAGGAGAAGTAGTGGAAAGGTGCTAAATGGTTTCAGGCCAAACCAAACATAAAGAAATAAATACAGATAATTGGAAATAAAGTAGCCAGACAGAGTACAGGAATTCAGATGTGAGAAGCAGCTGTAACATGTGACCTATTGAGACATTAAGAACAGTGACAGAAATTGGATTGACAGGCGAAGAGCATGTCATATAGCGACAGTAATTACTTTCAGAAACAGAAATGAACTCAGAGTAGGAAATCAGTGGTGAATGGCAAATAAGATTTGGGTGAAAGGTACAGAGGTTGTTCTTTTTCTTGAACGTCTTTGGACATTATCGAAGTAGAAACATTTTCTACACCTCTATTAACACCCTTTGTAGTTTTAAAAGAAATGATTTGGTCTATCCTCAACCTTCCACTTTTGCAGAAGAAAGAGCCTGTTAAGTTTTTTCCTAAAAGCTATAACTTACGAAAATGCAGCAGATAAGAAACATTCAATGAATTTGAAATATTCAGAGATGAATTTTTCCAGCCCATAAATAACATGGGCAAGGGCAACAAAGTTGGGAAAATGTAGCTAGAATTTCAGAAAAATTAGATTCTCCATGTTAAGAAACAAAAGTTGGACTTTCCGCTTGAGGTTCCAATGCTGTATGTGGATCTTGTTAGTAAGCCATGATGAGTTATTTCCATATATGTGCTTCTCACGATTAGCTAATCTCACATTGCTATGTGGATTGTTGTTACCAATTTCCGAATTTAAAATCAACAGCAGTTACTTGATGGTTGCAGCTCACTGGAATTCTCTCTGGACCCCATGTTGACCATCATTCTCTAATATTGTGGGACAAACTCCATGGGCAGCAACAGCTGCACCCTCTGTCTGCGAAAGTATCATTGGTAAAACACCAACCTCACCATATCATGCCACATCTTGACTAACTCAGAAGGAACTTCAGCATGTAACGACTACAGATTACAATGTCACTGCCAGACTGTTTTGTGTACAGGACACACACCTGCCTAATACATCCACAAAGGGTGCATTGCGGGGCTCTGAGTTTGCTTTGTGCATACATGGATGTGCACAGCATCTCATCTTGTCATGCTTTTTGCATAGTGCCATATCATTCAAAACTTACAGGTTCATAGTGTTTCTGTCTTGCCATTTAGTGCAAACAGAAATCATAGAATCATAAAGTATGGGAATGGCCTTTTGGTCCACTGAGTCTGCACCAATAAAACTATTTTAAATCTACACTAGTCATAGGTTTCAACACATAGCCCATAGCCTTGAATGTTATGGCATTTCAAATGTCATCCAAATACTTTTTAAAACATTGTGAGGTTTTGTACCTCAATTACCTTCCCAGACAGTGCATTTAATTCCCTTGCCACCCACTGGGTAAAAAAGCTTTTCCTCAAATCCCCTCTAACTCTCCTCCTTGACGTGCAGGGGACCTAATAGTACACTCATGACAGTGTGTGTTACATAATCTTTTTTGTGCAGAAATGTGCTCTTGTGCAACTGGAGCAACCAAACAGGGATATAATGGATGTTGAAGAATTGGGAAAACAGCCACTGTCTCCCAAGGAGGAAGATGAGAATACTGAGAGGGAGGAACATCACCCTCGTCAAAACTCAGCAATGCAACGTCGGGCATAACAAGCCAGACAGGACTTCATTGACATCCACTTCCAATAAATCTGAGTTGAGTGAAGTCATCATTCATTGACTGTAAATTTCTCGTTGCTTGAAAGGGAAGCAGCTGCTATGTAGTTCCAAAAACAATTTTGGCTTTTTTGTTTGTCTTCGCTTTTCCCATTGTTTAATAAAGTTAACATTACCAACTGTTTGAAAGCTTTACAACATCTAGTGCCCCACATTCAAGAACGACAACAGTGTTCTGATTGGCATTACAAAAATAGTGGTAGCCCTTTAGACAGGGTTCAAACATTGCATGGCACAAAGGAATGGTAGCTAATTGAGCTACAAACCCTCCCCTGCAAAGTGGAGAATGTGGGCAGTGATACCAATATAAACTAAGCAACTCTAACAAACTCTACCGTTTGTACTAATTCCTCCACATAGAATTTGTTTACAGTAGAGTCGCAGGTGGACAGGATGGTTAAGAAGGCATTTGATATGCTTTCCCTTATTGGTCAGTGCATTGCATAAAGGAGTTGAGAGGTCATGTTGTGGCTGTACAGGACATTGGTTAGGCCAATTTTGGAAAACTGTGTTCAATTCTGGTCTAACAAGGTGTAGAGCTGGATGAACATAGCAGGCCAAGCAGCATCATAGGAGCAGGAAGGCTGACGTTTCGGGCCTAGACCCTTCTGGTCTCCCTGCTTTGGAAGTCTGTTGTGAAACTTAAAAGGGTTCAGAAAAGATTTACAAAGATGTTGCCAGGATTGGAGGTTTTGAGCTATAGGGTGAGGCTGAATAGACTGGGACTATTTTCCCTAGAGCATCAGAGGCTGAGGGGTGACTTTATAGAAGTTAATAAAATCATGAGGGTGAATAGCCAAGGTCTTTTCCCCAGGATGGGGCAGTACAAAACTAGAGGGTATAGGTTTAAGGTGAGACGGGGAAGATTTAAAAGGGACCTAAGGGGCAACTTTTTCTTGCAGAGGGTGGGGTGTGTATGGAATGAGCTGCCAGAAGAAGTGGTGGAGGCCCGTACAATTACAACATTTAAAAAGCACCTGGATGGATACATGAATAGGAAGGGTTTAGTGGGATATGGGCCAAATGCTGGCAAATGGGACTACATTAATTTAGGATATCTGGTTGCTGTGGACATGTTGGACCGAATGGTCTGTTTCCATGCTGTACAGCTCTATGATGTAGTGTTAAAGGGAACTCGTGCAGCACAGCACAGCAAAGATTTCTTGGTTGCCAGGTCTCAGCATGAGTAGTCATGATCCTCTTCAGTTATCTCAAGGATTTTGACCTTAGAAGGGGTAAGGAGACAAGTATTGGCCTTCCTGTTATCCATCCTGGCCCTTTTATAGGCTGTTTGTTCCTGCATTCAGACAAAAGGAGGAATTGAATGAAATGAAAATACCTGGAAGAGCTGTTAGTAATGATGCTGGAACAGGAATGGCGGTGAGGCATCCTGGCTGATTGAGTAGCAAGAACAGAGGGCAAGAAGGATTGGTAGTTTGTGGGAGTGGCATGGGTGACAGCCATTGAGGAAAGATGCTGCACGCAATAGTGAGATTGGTAGACCATGAACCTTTGTGGGAGGGTTGAGTGTCAGAGTTAGAATGGGTGTGAGGTAGTAAAGAGAAGATGATGGTACTTAGCTTTGCAGGACATAGAATCTTGTGATATTAATGCATGTTACTCCAGACAGCATGGACCTGGGTTGCTACTTCAGACCAGGTTGGTCTCGTACTGTGGTCTCCTTTGTCGGTCCTGGGGAAAGAGGATAGCCCTTCTTTCTACTTACACCTTCTATCAACACCTCCACGTCCTTGTTGATGAAACAGGGTGACCAGTTCCCTCCCTTTACCTTGGAGTTTTGAATTGTACAGCAACCCACTAAAGGCAGTTCCTGGCTTGCAGCATTTTAAGTGGTGTGCAGATTGGGTTTAAAAATGACTTGACATGACATGAATGCTGGGAGATCCCTGCATTGGCAAGCACTCCTACCTCTTCTGATTACCGACTGCGCAAGAGTTGGGCTGTGGAGGCCTGATGCCTAATTAATGAAATCAGCAACAGGGAATTGGGTGAGAAAAATTGCCAGAGCTCACATACAACTGGTCTGGATTGAAAAACCAATCAAAAAGCTGTCATTGGGCAAAACATACCCATAGAGCTCAGGTCTTGAGCAGTCTCCGCACTACTGTTTGAATAAGGCCATGATGTAGATACAACAGTCAACAAATTCCTGTAAATAAGATATAAAAGAATTGCAACAGTCCCTTGGGTCTGAATCTGATCAGAAATCATCCAAGTATCATTTTGGTGAGTTTCACAAAAGGTTTCCCTCAGCGAACTCAGGCAAGTTTCCTCCTGTTACCTTATCAAACTCACCGCATTAACTAAGCACCGTGCTCTGATGCCACCCCACTTCTTGTATTCTCCCATCTACTGGCCACTTCTGGGATCTCTACACAGGATTACTGATGCCACCGCCATCATTAAAACCCAGCCACACACCCAGTCAAATTCTGGCAGCTGGAACTGCCCTGCTCGATTCATATTACATTCCCCACACCGAGATTGAGTGGCTTGGGCATGTACTCACTGAACTTTGGAAGAATAAAAACCGAAAGAACTGCGGATGCTGTAAATCAGGAACAAAAACAAAGTTGCTGGAAAAGTTGCCTTCCATCTGTGAAGGAAAAAAACAGAGTTAACGTTTCGGGTCCGGTGACCCTTCTTGAGAACATTCTTGGGAAGAATAACGGGCAACCTCATTGAAACATAAAATACTTAGGGAGCTCACGGGATGGATGCGGAAAGGTTGTTTCCCCCTTATGGGAGAGTCTCAGACCAGAGTAAGGGGTCATGCAATTAGGACAGAGATGAGGAAGAATTTCTTCACTAAAAAGGTAGGCAATCTGTGAAATTCTTTACTACACAGGATAAACAAAAGTGGGTGATTAAATATATTCAAG